TCTCTTTGACTTGGAGTAGGAAAAAAGCTCGCCACCGTCCCCTTCGAGGGGCTCACCCCTCTCTTTGACTCGGAGTAGGAAAAAAGCTCGCCACCGTCCTCTTCGAGGGGCTCACCCCTCTCTTTGACTTGGGGTAGGAAAAGGCTCGCCATCGTCCTCTTCGAAGGGCCCGCCCCTCTCTTTGACTCGGAGTAGGAAAAAAGCTCGCCACCGTCCTCTTCGAGGGGCTCACCCCTCTCTTTGACTCGGGGTAGGAAAAAAGCTCGCCACCGTCCTCTTCGAGGGGCCCACCCCTCTCTTTGACTTGGATTAGGAAAAAAGCTCGCCACCGTCCTCTTCGAGGGGCCCACCCCTCCCTTTGACTTGGAGTAGGAAAAAAAAGCTCGCCACCGTCCTCTTCGAGGGGATCGCCCCTCTCTTTGACTTGGAGTAGGAAAAAAAGATCGCCACCGTCCTCTTCGAGGGGCCAACCCCTCTCTTTGGCTTGTGGCAGGAAAGAAGCTCGTCACCGCCCTCTTCGAGGGGCCCACCCCTCTCTTTGACCTGGAGTAGGAAAAAAGCTCGCCACCGTCCTCGTCGAGGGGCTTACCCCTCTCTTTGACTTGGAGTAGGAAAAAAGCTCGCCACCGTCCTCTTCGAGGGGGTCACCCCTCTCTTTGAGTTGGAGTAGGAAACAAGCTCGACACCGTCCTCTTCGAGGGGCTCACCCCTCTCTTTGACTTGGAGTAGGAAAGAAGCCCGCCACCGTCCTCTTCGAGGGACTCACCCCTCTCTTTGACTTGGAGTAGGAAACCAGCTCGCCACCGCCCTCTTCGAGGGGCTCACCCCTCTCTTCGGCTTGGAGTAGGAAAACAGCTCGCCACCGTCCTCTTCGAGGGGCTCACCCCTCTCTTTGACTTGGAGCAGGAAAAAAGCTCGCCACCGTCCTCTTCGAGGGGCTCACCCCTCTCTTTGACTTGGAGTAGGAAAAAAGCTCGCCACCGTCCTCTTCGGGGGGCTCACCCCTCTCTTTGGCTTGGAGTAGGAAAAAAGGCTCGCCGCCGTCCTCTTCGAGGGGCTCACCCCTCTCTTTGACTTCGAGTAGGAAAAAAAGCTCGCCACCGTCCTCTTCGAGGGGCTCACCCCTCTCTTTGACTTGGAGTAGGAAAAGAGCTCGCCACCGTCCTCTCTTTGACTTGGAGTAGGAAAAAAAAAGCTCGCCACCGTCCTCTTCGAGGGGCTCACCCCTCTCTTTGACTTGGAATAGGAAAACAAAAAGCTCGCCACCGTCCTCTTCGAGGGGCTCGCCCCTCTCTTTGACTTGGAGCAAGGAGAAAGCTCGCCACCGTCTTCTTCGAGGGGCTCACCCCTCTCTTTGAATTGGAGTAGGAAAAAAAAGCTCGCCACCGTCCTCTTCGAGGGGCCCACCCCTCTCTTTGACTTGGAGGAGGAATAATCTCGCCACCGTCCTCTTCGAGGGGCTCACCCCTCTCTTTGACTTGGAGTAGGCAGAAAAAAAGCTCGCCACCGTCCTCTTCGAGGGGCTCACCCCTCTCTTTGACTTGGAATAGGAAAAAGCTCGCCACCGTCCTCTTCGAGGGGCTCGCCCCCCTCTTTGACTTGGGGTGGGGAAAAAGCTCGCCGCCGTCCTATTCGAGGTGCTCACCCCTCTCTTTGACTTGGAATAGGGGAAAAAAAAGAAGCTCGCAGCCGTCCTCTTCGAGGGGCTCACCCCTCTCTTTGACTTGGAGTAGGAAGAAAAGCTCGCCATCGTCCTCTTCGAGGGGCTCACCCCTCTCTTTGACTTGGAGTAGGAAAAAAGCTCGCCATCGTCCTCTTCGAGGGGCCCACCCCTCTCTTTGACTTGGAGTGGGAAAGAAGCTCGCCATCGTCCTCTTCGAGGGGCTCGCCCCTCTCTTTGACTTGGAGTAGGAAAAAAGCTTGCCACCGTCCTCTTCGAGGGGATCACCCCTCTCTTTGACTTGGAATAGGAAAAAAGCTCGCCATCGTCCTCTTCGAGGGGATCACCCCTCTCTTTGACTTGGAGTAGGAAAAAAAGCTTGCCATCGCCCTCTTCGAGGGGCCCACCCCTATCTTTGACGTGGATCTTATCTGCGAAGCTGTCCGCTTTAGCAGCAGCCACAGCAGCAGCAGCAGCAGCAGCACCCTTCTCCCTCCGCAACACCTCCAACTGCCCATCCAAAACAGGATCCCCCTCGAGGGGCGCCAGAGTGAGCCCCTGGGCCCCCATGTTGCCGAAGCGCCACTCCTCCGAGTAAAAAACCTCGGCCCGAGTCACAAATTTGACCAGCTGCATGCGCAGCACAAGCACCCCTTTGACCAATCGAACTGTCTGACTATCGTGGCGACTCGAGGCCGCCCCTGTCTTAGCCAGCCGACGTGCTTCTGCATTTCCCGTCCTCTCGAACTCCGCAATGCGGCCTTCCCGCGCACCGATACTGGTCGAGTACGCTCTGATATTTCCACAGAATCAACTCGAACTCCCCATATCGGAAGATCC